TTATAACAGTTAGATTGACGAAAATCAACGGTTAAGATTTGGTAGTAAGAGATTGTAAAAAAAGAGAGGTAGTAAGTAGTAAGTATAACCTCTCCCTATTTTTGTATCTAAAGTTTTGATAATTTATCGTCACAAGATTTTAAATTCGTTAATGGGGGAGGTTATAGTTACTACCTCTTTTTCTTACTATTTTTTATTACTAAATCTTAATCATTGATTTTCGCCAATCTAACGAATGTAATTTATTGGGTCATACTTATTAATTAATTATTAATTATTAATAAATTATAATCGTTAGATCGACGAAAATCAATAATTAAGATTTAATAGTAAGAGATAATAAGAAAAAGAGGTAGTAACTATAACCTCTCTCTTGTTAATAAGCTCATAACTTTTTTGTTTTCCGAAAATATAACTATTTCAAATATTAATTTTGCATGACAAGTTTTATTCTAAATATATGAAATCGAATGGCCATGCTCTTTTTCACCTTTACTTTAAGTTTAGTCAAACACTCAATAAAGGATGAGAATAAATTACCATACAAAGAACTGAATCTCTAAGGTAGTGTTTGGTTAACGGTTTCTTCAAGCTTTCCTATGCAAATCTCACAAGCAATTCAGAAAGCATGTGTTTGGTTCAACAGATTTACTCCAAATCCTCAGTCATCCCATTTGCATTGCATTTCCAATTTAGTCTTGGAATGATAGCTTTCTTCACTGTTTAGAATGACTTTTGAGAGGTGGTTTTATGTGAAAAGCCGGGTAAATCATTTTTGACAATTTCTTCCGGACCATTATACCCTCTTCTTTCTTCTTGTCCAACTCCCATTATATCAGAAATCAGTTTTCCTTAGCTGAGTACGTTGGTTGTGTTCCATCTTTTTTCAGAAGGAGCATTCCCTTCTGTGACGGTAAGTACTAGGTGGTTGAAATTGCTCTTATAGCAAAGTGTGTTAAAATATTTAATATTATTATTATTATTTTATTTTTCATTACTATAGTTTTGTGATACAGTGGTTAAGTGTTGGAAGATGACGGTGACACCTAAGATCTCTGTTGAGGATGGAAACCTTGTTGTCCATGGCAAGACCATATTGACTGGTGTTCCCGACAAAATTGTGTTGGTGTTCCCAACAAAATTGTGCTGAGTCAAGGTGTTGGACCGATTTGGTCTTCAAATGAGGATGGATTTTTGGGTCACCGGTGGTGGTGGCTGAGGAGGTTGGCTGGTGAGGGAGGTTGTGGACGGTGGTTTTGGGGGATGGGGCGGTGGCTGAAATAAAATAAAAACGAGGTTATTTTTGTAAAAACAACTTTTTTTTCTATCTATATTTTCCCTACATCCAAACATAGACTTTATAAAAGTTACTTAATTTCCCCATCAAAATTTTATTCAACCAAACAACTTTTTTTACATTTTCCTACCAAACTCACATTCTAACCATTTCCCTAGTAATCACATTTCCCTATTATTCATAAAAATTTCTCCTCAACCAAACGCCCCCTAATGGGGGAAATTATTTATGCACTTGCGACAAAAATCACATGCTCTGGTACTGATAGAAAAGCAAGAGAGAGAAAGAAGAGAAACACAAGAGAGAAGAGGAGGGAATGAGTTGGATTTACGTCCTCTCGTTTGAAAAAATGATAATGTGATTATATTATTTGATTACAATCACTTATTGATGATAAAATAAAAGAGAAAAAAATATATACCTTTTAAATAAATAGTTATGATCAAATAACATGATTATTTTTTCACGTGAAAAGATCCAAATTCAAAATGAGTCAGTGAAAAAATATATATCATTTTTTGTGCTTTTTGAAGAAGTAATATCATCTTATATACACTTTAGTCTTGGAAATTGAAATGAATGCTACCTGAATCACAAATTTATATGTATGTGTTTTTTCAATGATAGAGACTTTTAAAATAATTTGTATTTAAATTGTCATTTCATGTTTAAAATATTTTATAATCAACATTTAACTTTGATAATTTAAAAAATCTAAAATTAAATCCAATCCATCTATTACAAAAATGTGCTAACGGCCAGGTTGTGAACATGACTGTCTAAATAATGCTTAAAGCAGGATCATGTTCGTTGAAGAACACTATTCATGAGTCATAAAAGGTGCAAGTAAGAATAAGATGATTTTTTTTTTTTAATAATGGTGACACTAAGTCATTGCATTCCAATTTTTGATCTCATATAAATGATCTAAATATCTCATTATTAGATCAATTCAAATGGTTTAAGATGATTAATTTTTTTAAAAATCAAATCAAATTATAACGTGTCTTATTTATATTTCTTTTTTGCTATGAACAATGAAATTTGATGGTTGAAAGTTTATTTATTTATCTGTCTGTCTTTGACCGGATAGTTCCCAATATAATTGTGAGACTAATCTCTTGGGTTGAGAAGGTTAGATAAATTTTTATATAAATTTTTTTACACATTAACATTACAAATAAAGTTCACTTAGGATCGTAATTTATTCTTACAGTTATCAATAACTCTTAGATTATTTTTTTTTGGTAAATGAGATTAAAATTTTTGCTCATATAAAGTATTAGTTATTTATTGTTTTGTTTTTAAACAAGATTTATCATTGTCTTTCATATTTGTTACGCTAATTATTGTCTCCATTTTGGTCTAATTTAGGAAAATTATGACCATGTTAGTTTATCAATATATAATAGAATAAAGACATTATTTTTGGAAATGATATGCTATGATGTTATACTTTTTTTTAAGACACGTGACTATCCATTACTTATTTCATTTTTAATACGTTTTTCAAAAAATTTAAACCATCAATTTTTTTTTTTCTTATGTTAAAATTGTTTCTTCGTCCAAAATTTCAATTATTTATACTGATGTTATCAATTTAACTTATATTTTAACATTAAAGTTAATTTAATCTCTTCAAATCTCATCTGCCCCGTTCTTATATATTATATATTAACTTATAATGACGCATATCATTATTAACTTATTTTCTTTAATTTTAAGTTAATGTTTTAATTAATTATACATACATCTCTTATATTTTCTTGAGAGATTTTAATTACATTATTATTTCATTTACTTTGAAAAATTATGCTATTCTCCCTTGGAGATCAATATGTCGTACATTTTAATTTATTTCAATGTAAATGAGCCTTCTAGAATAGTTTTTCTCTCCTTGCAAATTTCAATATCAATGACAATTTTAAATTCATAATATTAATTATGGGATTTTGGAATATGAAATGAAAATTTTGGATGAAGTTTCAAAGTTAATAGTGGTTATGTTTAAAACTTCATTTTTTTTTAAAGTCTCAAATTCAATAATAGGTTGAGAATTAATTATCTTTTGATATTGAAAATATAAGAGAGAGCAAAATTGTATTTGGGAGTTGATTTATAGTTAGTAATTTGTAATGATTGATAAAAAAATCATTTATATTAAAAAATGACTAAAAGTATAAACTATTTTATTTTTTAAGATAGGAGAAAATAATTTTTTAAAATAGATATAATATAATTTAAACATGTAATGTACTCTAATATGAAATAAAAAATATGATAGGAAAATTTGGATACGTAATCCATGACGCAATGTCACAAATAAATATGACCCAAATTCAGAAAGAAATTAAGACATGTTCACCTTGCGGCAGAATTTGGGGGCCAAAAATTGCAATATTTGAGTTCATTGCCGCTTTCAATCGTCTTCGTTTGACAATATTAAGGTGAAAAAGTTTTTAATGTTATTTTAGATAACTTTATCTAATGTTTATCGAAACGACGTCGTTTTGGTGTTGAAAAATTAAAAAATTAGAGTGATAATGACTATTATAACCCTTAAATAAATTAAAATTACAAAAATACCATGATTTCCGTCCTAAAACGACGTCGTTTTGATGAACATTAGATAAAGTTATCTAAAGTAACATCAGAAAAAACAAACCCTAATATAAATTAAGGTTTCTTTTTCTGCACACCGGATATGGACCGAACTGTCTCACGACGTTCTGAACTCAGCTCACGTACCGCTTTAATGGGCGAACAGTCCAGTTAGTGCAGATAAGTTATGAGGCGGTAATTATAGTATTTTTGTAATTTTAATTTATTTTAAATTATAATAGTCTTTATATTTATAATTTTTTAAGATTTCAATACCAAAATGACGTCATTTTAGGAATAAATGCAGATAATTTATCTGTATTAACTGCAGAAATATTTTTTCCATAAATTAAAAAATGGAAAACTTAAAAAGTAATATTTTATTTGTATTATTAAATTAAAATAAAATCTGAGATATTCACCTGGCGGCCCAAATGTTGCCATATTTGAGTTCGTTGGTGTTTTCAATAGTCTTCATTTGGTAACAATTTAAAAATGGAAAACATAGAAAATAACATTTATAAATTAAAATTGACCGTTTAATTTGTAGGCAAACGAAATTGACCGTCTAATTTGTAGATAAAACAAAATTGACCTTCTGATACTCTGATGTCTATGATGATAAAGTTCTGGTTTTGTTTTGGAATTTATTTTTGAACAAAAAGAAACAAATAATCGAAATTATGTGCATGAAATTAAAGTTAGGAATTATGTTTTGCTTGCTTGGCAAATCATTTGAATGAGTATTCAGTTTTTTTCTTTCTTTTTTCTTTGACCAAAAAATAAAGAATTTCCAAAAGTAGAATAAAGCAATCTATATTAATTATTTTTTTAAAAAAAACGCGTTCGAAGGACGCACATGATTATGTAACATGTATAGTTTATGTAATAAACAGAATTTTCGTTCCGTTTTGATCACATAGTTGAAATAAAAAAAGAGAATAAAAAAAGAATTAGAAAAAGAAATGACAGAAAACAGAGAATGAAAGAGTTTACGTAATCCATAGTTGGAAGTTGGAAATGTTCTGTTGTCTTAGAACTTATTGTTCCATTTTTCGAGTACAAATACATTCCCACTCTCTCTTTCTGAAATTACGATGATTAACAACCACAACAACAACAACAACATCTTCATCCTTAACCTTTGTCCCTGTTTTGTTTTTTGATCACATGTTCTTGTCTCGAACGCATTCGTTGATTCATTAGTGTCTCTATTCCATTTTTTTTTTTTTGCACTTTCCCTTTTCAATTATTTCACGTACAGCAGATATATACGTACATAGATATATATAGTAACAAAACGACACAAATGGCGGCTGCTTTTTTCTTTTCCGTCGCGTTGTTGTTGGCGGCGGCGGCGGTTGTTTCTGGATCTCCGGCGACTCTGACGCTGGAAAGAGCGTTTCCGTCGAATCATGGAGTGGAGTTGAGTCAGCTAAGAGCTCGGGACATGTTAAGGCATCGGAGAATGTTGCAGTCTTCGAACGGTGTCGTCGATTTCCCTGTTCAAGGCACCTTCGATCCCTTCCAAGTCGGGTAATTCTCTCGGCTCTTTTGTATTTCACTTTTTGTTTTCAACTTTGAAGGTTTTTGTGTAGTTGAATCAATTTGAAGGCTTTTTTTTTGGGATTGTATTGGATTCTGAATAATGGGTTTTCAAATTTATTGAGAATCTTCTCTTTTATCCTTCTATCTCCGTTTCTTTATCTTTTATCTCTTATTTTTCTGTTCATATTATTTTCCTATGCTCTTCTCTTTTTTGATCAATTCATGGTGGTCCTTGTTTCCTGCTTCTTATTGTTTAAAACCAAAGCTTGCTTGGTTTGGTTCTTCGTGGCTCTCAAATTTATTTCTTTTTTATGTTTTTTTTTTTTAATTTGAAATTAATGGCTTGTTTTCAGGCTCTACTTTACAAAAGTGCAGTTGGGTACTCCTCCAGTAGAGTTTTATGTGCAGATTGACACTGGCAGTGATGTTCTTTGGGTCGGTTGCAGCTCCTGTAATGGTTGTCCCCAGACAAGTGGGCTTCAGGTAGATTCAATTTTCTCTATTTATTAATTTGACATCATGTTTGTGACACAGTAAGATTCACTTTCTCTGGATTTTGTTAACAGATTCAGCTCAATTTTTTTGACCCCACGCGTTCATCAACATCTTCATCAATCTCTTGTTCTGACCAAAGGTGCAATGGTGGAATACAAACATCAGATGCCAGCTGTTCCAGTCAGAACAACCAGTGCTCTTACACTTTTCAGTATGGAGATGGTAGCGGGACATCAGGCTATTACGTGTCAGATATGATGCATCTTGACACTATTTTTCAGGGAGCCGTGACTACAAATTCTTCAGCACCAGTAGTTTTTGGGTGAGCTTTCATGAGCCTCAAATGGTTGATAGCATCCTTATTTTGTTTTTTGTTTTTTCATGCTTCTTGGTTTTAATCTTGGAAATGAATGTTGCAGTTGTAGCAACCAGCAGACTGGTGACTTGACAAAGTCTGATAGAGCAGTTGATGGGATATTTGGATTTGGGCAACAATCTATGTCTGTTATCTCCCAGCTCTCCTCACAAGGGATAGCTCCTAGAGTATTTTCCCATTGTCTTAAAGGAGATAGTAGTGGTGGGGGCATATTGGTTCTCGGTGAGATTGTGGAGCCAAACATTGTTTATACTCCACTTGTTGCATCACAGTAAGTTCTTTCATCAGAATAAAAATGCTGCATCTTAATTTCCTTCTATCAACTCAACTTGTATTTTTTAGTGGTTGTTAAGTAATAACTCCATGCTGAGGGTAATCTGAATTCTTTGGTAAACTTAGTGAGTGAATGGAAAATTGTACCTTTGTTTTTAGGAGCATAATAAAATGTTTGCATTAAAAGTTTCAGACCTATTGATAGATGGCAAGATTTAATGCTGGAAGTCATTTGGAGTTCTAGGCTTCAATTATTCATCTAAGCAAGATGTTAAACTGGAGATTCTCTCTGTCAATCTTGAATGTTGAAATCACTTTATAATTTCTAGAGTATAGGTTAGGAATGTGATTATGAAGAATGGAATGCCGAAAGATGAAGATAAGAATTTGCACCAATTTACAGCTATGCAATAACGGATAGCAGGTTTTTGGGTTTTGTCATGTACTTAGGTGCCTGGTTTGGAATAGTGCCTTGAGCAAGGCCAATGTTCTACCGTGAACTAGAGTAAAATGTACATTCATTATGGGGTCCTCAAAGTTTTACACAGAAGTAGAGTAGGAATTGGAGAATTTAAACAAGTTACTGACAATAGGTACTTGTATTGAAGTGGTTTGAAAGAATGTCCATCTGAAAAAGTGTTTAGACTAACTGCTTCCTTTGAAAATATTTCAGGCCCCATTACAATTTAAATCTGCAGAGCATCTCTGTCAACGGCCAGGCATTGCAAATTGATTCATCAGTTTTTGCAACATCAAACACCGGCGGTACCATTGTTGATTCTGGAACAACTTTGGCATACCTTGCAGAACAGGCTTATGATCCCTTTGTCAATGCGGTGAGTTTCATTTAGCTAATTTCAAGTAATTCAATTTATCAAAAACATATGTTGCTTCGATGCTTCATGTATTAATTAGCAATCATGGTATGCTTTTTGCTTTATTGGAGGTTTATCAAATATTTATGACAAAATGCTTTTTTTGTTAATGCAGATTACAGCAGCAATTCCACAATCTGTACGCAGTGTTGTTTCCAAAGGAAATCAGTGTTACTTAATCACCTCTAGGTTAGATTGAGCATTTCATTTTTTTATCCTGCTCATTAGCCTTTTGCTGATTGGGTGATAAAATATGGATCATCTTGATACTCTCTTTCTCTAACTCCTTTTGTCTGCATTGTGTTTAGTGTCACTGACATTTTTCCACAAGTAAGTCTGAACTTTGCTGGTGGTGCATCTATGGCTTTAACACCACAGGATTACCTTATACAGCAGAGTTCTATTGTAAGTATTCAAGCTTCAATCTCTATTTTTTCAATTTTCTGAATACTGGTCTGGATTACATGATTCCCAAGGACATTGATTTCAAGTCAGAGTGAGTCGCATTTGACAATGGTTGAAGAATCACTTTCTATTAATATGATTCTTTCCTGTCCTTCCACTTGTTTGCCTCTTGAAAACTGATTTTGATTTTACTTTTGTTTCAAAAGGTTTCTCATATGCTTTTTTATAAGACAATTTCCATGATAAATTCTTGTCTAGAACTACTCATTTCTTAAGGCATATGATATTACCCACACTAACCTTCAGTACAAAGAGCTCCTTTCGTACTTCCGTTATATTTGGTTAACTATTACCATTCTTATGCCTTGTTAGCTCTTCTTTGAGTGCATTATCAGAAAAAAGAAAAAGAAAAAAAAGAGACAAACTTTTCTTCTAATTCTCATTACATGTCATTTTCCTAATGAAAATTTTAAGACATGTCTCAGAGATACTTCATGGTAAATTCTTGGACATTTCTGTAGCTTTGATTACGTGCATTTATTCTTCATATACACCTTACTTCTATGTTAGTCTGATTTTTATATACTGTATTTTGTACGTTATCTCACTAAATGCTATGGTGAACCAATGCTTGCTACAGGGTGGTGCAGCAGTGTGGTGTATTGGCTTTCAGAAAATCCAGGGTCAAGGGGTAACAATTCTAGGAGGTACAATACAAATTTGAACACTTTAGGCCATATATCCATCTTTAATATGGTGATGATATCTTTCAAGTATACATAAAATAAGTTTTGCATTTGATTTAAGGTCAACTCAAAAATTTGAAGCTTGAACCTATATTTAGAAAGAAAATTGCTATATTGATTGGATTTTTAAGCTCACGGATAGTATACTATCAGATTATATCCCCCCTCCCGAATCAACCTTCTTCCCAAATTTTCTCAGTGCTATTGTTGGGATTTAACACTAATATGTTTCTATAGTCAACCTGCCAGAATATGAATACAAAATATCGTTCCTTGTACTTAAATTATTGATTATCATCTGTCAGAGATTGTGCTATCTTTTCTTCAAGAATATGATACTAACAACACCACTTTCTGTTTTGGCAGATCTCGTTTTAAAAGACAAAATTATTGTTTATGATCTGGCTGGTCAACGCATTGGATGGGCTAACTATGACTGTAAGTTTCAGCTACAATACCAGAAAGTCATATAGTGGATGACATAAATATTTATTTTTCATGAGGCTCTCGAGTTATTGCTTTTCCACTCCAACCAAGAAAATATTTTATTCTTTTGAGTGTGGGAGCAAAAAAATAAATAAATAAAGGGAAAAGTTCACCAATGCCCCTGTGGTTTGCTTCAAAATCACCTATGCCCCTGTGGTTTTTTTTCTATCACATATGTCCCTGTGTTTTTATTTATCACATATGCCCCTGTGGTTTGCAAAAGGGTATGTTTTTTATCACATATACCCCTGTGGTTTTTTATATTTTACAAAGCACAGGACATATGTGATAAAAAAAAACCATAGGAGCATAGGTGATTCTGAAGCAAACCACAGGAGCATTAGTGAACTTTTCCCATAAATAAAATAAGAGCCAACTTTGTTTTATAGGATTGTTCAATTTGTGGAACCAACGACGTGGTCTATATTTTCATTGCTTCTATCTTTATTTATCTTTAACATTAGATTCTGATGCTGTTCAACAATGTAGGTTCTTTGTCGGTTAATGTATCTGCAACAACTGGCACTGGAAGAAGTGAATTCGTGAATGCTGGAGAGATTGGTGGCAGTACTTCTTTACGTGATGGACTTAAGTTAACAAAGACAGGGTTCTTGGCTTTCTTCATGCACATAATGCTGATTTGTTGCTTTGTGTATTTATAACATAATATATACGTTGTGTGAGATAGAACTAATAATTCTTTTTTCCCATGTATATTCTCTTGCCGGTATGTATTTGTGACAATCGGCAAGACCACATTGTTTTAAACATTTGGTTGTGCCACCTTTCTCTGCACAATAGGTTTGTCCGGTTTAGCTTCAGGTGATTCTGTTGGACACTATCAGTCTTGTAGAATCAGATCATTACCCTTCTTTATTTTTGGCAGCATTGTAAATTATTTCACAGGATTACTATTGAATCGCATATACGAGTTATACAACATAGCTCCTTCTCCTTTTTGTTTTTTGTTTTGGTTTGATTAAACTTGGTTTCCACACATCATCATTGTTGTAAATTGCTTTTTAACACATCTAGATAAAAATTGATATTTTAACACATCTAAATAAATTTATCTCTTGCAATCCAAAAGGGTTAAGGAAAAAAAATACAGCAATTTTAATATGGTATCAGATAAAAGTAAAATTTACAAAATATCTTGTATTTTTTTTTCTTAAATTCCAAAATGATGTCATTTTGAGTTTGTTAGAGATAATTTTATCTCCAGGAAAAATAATTTCTCTTAAAGAGGCGTTTGGCACGAGAGATATTTTTTTTAACAGAGAAAAAAGATTGTTAGGGATTTAGTAGGAATTTTTTTATCCAGGGTAAGTTACAAAAAAGTGTTTGGTTGGCCAAAATTTTGCAGGAAAAGTTGGGTTAATTTTACTAATGATATGTTTGGTTGACAGTAAAATATTGATGGGAATGAATACCAAAAAAAAAAATATTGATGGGAATGTGAATGAAATTATCAAAATACCCTTCATTTACAAAATATGGTATCAGATAAAAGTAAAATTTACAAAATATCTTGTGTATTTTTTTTTCTTAAATTCCAAAATGATGTCATTTTGAGTTTGTTAGAGATAACTTTATCTCCAGGAAAAATAATTTCCCTTAAGGGGACGTTTGGCATGAGAGATATTTTTTTTAACCTAGAAAAAAGATTGTTAAGTATTTGGTAGGAATTTTTTTATCCAGGGTAAGTTACAAAAAAGTGTTTGGTTGGCCAAAATTTTGCAGGAAAAGTTGGGTTAATTTTACTGATGCTATGTTTGGTTGATGGTAAAATATTGATGGGAATGTGAATGAAATTATCAAAATGCCCTTCATTTTTTGAATATGCCATCATCAAATGTTGCTTTTTTTGGGAAAAAGTGAATTAAATGTACCTTTTGAGAATCCAAGATCAAGGAAAAAAAAATACCAAAGATTAAATGGGACAAAAATTTGCCTTAGTGTAGTTCAAAAAATAAATATTGGGTAAAAAATTTTCTTGACATTTTGTTCACAATACTCATACCAAACATAGTAAATAAATATTCTCCACCCCACTTTCTTATCATTTCATACCAAACACTCCCTAAAAGTAAAGCTAAATAAGCCCACAACATGCAAAATTTATGATAAAAGTCATATACAAATATATAAAAAATAAAATAAAATTACCTGTAGTCAAATAATAAAAATATAAAATGATGGTACTGAAAATGTATATGGAACATTTTTTGAGGGAAAAAAAAATACTAACCCAACTTCTTATAGGTTAGCAGGTTAAATATTGCAGTCCGCAAATCATATGATTATTTTTCTTTTTTGTTATCATTCACCAGGACTGTTGTGTGTCTTGCCGGCTTTGGCTTATGCGTTAAATAGGCTTAGTCATGTAATCAGAAACAAAGAAAAAAGAGAGAGGGGTTCATGCCTTCATGGTAACATAGGTACTATTTATATTTGCAGACATAATAAGCAGGAAATGAACATTTCACTGGAACTCGTAAAACGTAAATGCATAAACAGTTAAACCAAACTTGAAAATCAATTTGCCCAAGAAATGAAAATGTATGGTTGACAGGAAGTAAGACCAATAAACTCATTGATCTTCTCTTTCCCTTCCTGCTATTTTAATTCCCTTTCTGAAGTGTTTTTCTGACTAAGGGCCGCCTTGGCAATCTATGCAACACCGATACCGACACGAGGCACATGACATGATATAACACTTCACTTCGACACGTTAATTTTAAAAAATATTAAATTTCGACATGTTAGAATACATTTTGATATTAATAATATTTTTAATTTATGTAGTATATATTATATTTAATATTCAATAATTTAACAAAAAAATATTAAACTTATAATACCCATCAATTTTGCAAAGAAACATAAGATATCCCAAATATTTACATTAAACTCAATAAAATAATAATCGTAATCCAACAAATTTAATAATTGAAACTAAAAAACGCAACACAACGCAACCTTTTGAACTATTTTTTGAATTTTTACAACACATGTTGGAGTGTCTGAGTGTCAAAATATCAAATACAACATGTCAAAATTTTTGAAGTATCGTTGCTTCATAGTTGACAATAATCTCCTTCGTTTCTTTCTTAATTATTTAAGATCTATTATCCTTTATATAAATCAGAAAAGTTTGATTGAATTTTTCAAACGTGCCTCATGATTAACTTAAAATTATTTTTATGTTTAGGCTTTACAAAAACGAGAGATGATACTATTTTACATCAGCGCATTATGTGTCGATCACTACAAAAAAATCGATAATTTACAGATCAAGAACTAAACATATATCATGAGGTAATTTTGGATGAAGATTTTATCCATTTTCTTCTTAATAAACCTATTTTTTTTTTTTTTTGGTAAACATAAATCTATTGTTTTTACTAAAATTATAAATGTCGCTGGACTTTTATTTGACATATGGTTAAAAAAAATTGCATAAAAAAATATAAAAATTAAACTACTTATGATCACACAGCCTCTTCCTTGGATTACAGTGTTCGTCCCCCCAACAAAATAGTAGCTCTATAAATGTATGTCTGACAACGTAGTTGGAACTGCATAATCTCATCCAACCATGTCTATCATAGCCGAAAATCTCTGCAAATAAAAAACATCAGTGTGGTCTGGTACCCATGCAAAGAAAGAAAAAAACATAAAACTAAGAATAGAACAAATAGGGATGAGGAGTGAAAATAAAATAAAATAAAATAGTGACATGACTGCAGCCAGCAAAGCACGGACACGCTACTTGCAAAAATATTTGCGCGTCGGACACGCTCAAACACACGTTTGACACGCAGTCAACATTTAGAGACACGCGGTCAACTCTCCAACACGTTCCGACACGCGGTCAAGGCTAAGACACGCCCGGACACGTTTTTTTTTTTTTTTTTTTTAAATCTTAATTTTTTTTTGGTAAATAAAAAATCTTAATTTTATTTTGTTAATTAAATATAAAAGAAATAATTTATAAATTAATTTTTTTCTGTTATAGAATTTGACATGAAAAATTAAAAAAGTACGAAAAATTATTTATATTTATATTTATGTTATAAAATTTAAATATTTGATTGGTTATATGACTTATTATGGACTCTTATGTGTATTAAATATAAATTATATTATATATATTAAAATTTTTATTTAATATCAAAACGTGTCCCAACGTGTCGAAATATGACATTTTTTAGAATTAACGTGTCGGCGTGTCGTGTCCTGTGTCCCGTGTCTGTGCATCATAGACTGCAGCAAGGAATAATAAGTCAACAAAACAGATAGATATAGGTATTACCTCTTTACTCATGTAGAAGAAGTGATGTGCAAGAAAGAAGGGAAGACAGCTCATCTTCTGTTGCCAATCCAAAGCCCTGCCATCTTACTCTACCAAAATTATCAAGTAGAAAGATATACCTGTGAAGTTGAAACGTTATAAACAGTACTCTTCAGAACTAATAACTTTATTAGCTAACCATGAGTTGAATACGCAAGATAAAGCTTCATACCCTGTTAGGAGATTCAGTATCCTTAGTTCTTTTCTGAAATAATAGTGATCACCAAATGAATACACTATCTGCCTCTGAAGCGTATCCTTGCTTTCATGATGATTAGGTTTCTTTGTCGTCCAGAGAAGGAGACGCTTTATAGGATACCGACACAAAAGCCATGAATCTATAAATGATACCTGATAGAAAATACAAAAGCTTAATAATATAATTGTAGCGGACTATTGAAAACATGGAAACAGAAAGAAGTAATCTCTACTTAAGCACAAGATAGGTGGGTTTGTGGACAATCTACGCTTCAAATCCAAAGGACTCTTGGATGAATGGACATGTTAGAGATATAATATAAAATTATTCATAAGTTTTCACCTAAAAGCTTGAGCTTTTGTGATAGTTGGTTTATGACACAATCCAAGAGCCCTCACAATTTTATTTGGGCCAGGCACAAGCCCCTGCCTAAACTAGTATGTATTTTTCAATGAAAAGCCCAGCATGAGGTCACCTCTAGTTCCAATGGTGTAAGTGGTTGATAGAGAGGCTCTCATCAAGAAGTTAAACCAGATGAGTCAGGAAGATCATGGCCCAGATTAATAGTAGCACAAAATGGAAAAACTTAAGAAAGAAGTAGTAGTTTTCAACTTCCATGGTAAGCACTTTTATAAGTACCGTCACTACCTTGTGACAAAACACATACAAAAAACACCAAATGCACCACTCAGCATCTTTTTTCTTCAGAAGTTCAAAAACTGGAAGCAAAGCATTTGGGGACAGAGATTACAGATATGTGACCTCATAAATATCTGATTAATATTTCACTATCAATGACAAGGAAATGCATAAAACCTGAACCAAACAGATAATTACCTGATATAAATGAACATCTTTCGATTTACTAAATGCTTCGACAAAAGGCACGCTCCAAGAATTGATCATTTCCTGTCAAGGATAAAGAAATGGACTTTATTGCAGCAACCGTAAGCCAAAACCAAACCAAAAAGTTGTTACGAAAGTACCAAACAATGCAATGAACATAACAAGGAATGCTATAGGTAAGGACATGCCATGATTGTAGCAATATCTGAGTGATTTGCTAGCCAAAAACAAGGATTGTTTAGGCTGGATTGCAAACTTAGCCTGGTAAGAAACTAAGAATACAAATAAAGTTTCTTTTCATTGCATTTTTCAATATCTTCCACTCTATCCTTTTCTTCTTGTCATTTACCCCCTTTTCAATAATAATACTTAAATCCCCTTCGCTGTGGACAACAAATAGAAGATACTGTTCATCTTTCAAATTGTATAATAAGAACACAACAAATGCTACCATCAAATCTGTTAACCATTTAAGACATACATGGTGTTGGCTGCCTTCAGATGAGTGCACAATGCAATAATGTGGATAACAAAAGTCACATCTTTACAAAAACACTGCCAAGATCCATTACCTGGGAGCTTGCTCGAAATGAAAGACAAACCAAAGATGCCTTGGGGACAGATGATTTGTCAGAATCAATTACATTATCAGAAAGACGGATAGGAAGCTTCATCGTTTTACCATCTGGGAAGCTAACTTCGAAATCAGGAAACTTCACAGCTTCCATTGCTGGTATTATCACTTTATTAGCTACAGCAATCTGCACAAATCACACATAAATATGTCATACTCTTATCTGGTACACCTAAGACGTGCTTCCAGTCTAACCAACGGACCACTTGCTTAATAGACAATAAAATGTATATTTTGACCAAAATGGTATACAGCTAAATGTTTTGAGGATATCCTAGCAGAAAGGACAGGTCCATAACAAGCTTAAATAGACCAATTTAGCCGAAATTCAGAAAAAACTGAGCAATATGGATTTTGGGGAATTTGTTTTAGCCTAATGAGTTATGATGTCACCTTAATTGGAACAAAGAAACCTGAATTAAGCATGTAAAATCCTATTTCGATCTCTGGGGAGTTTTGATATATTCCACTTTTATCACATGCTATAGAAAAAAAAAGAATTCTTCGACACTAACAGCAGAGTAAATGCAATATTACAAATACAACCCAACGAATTATCATATAATTGCAATACCTTACCACCATGTTGCTTGAGCTCAGCCATATCAGCGAAGTATCCCCTATTCATTTCATCTTGACTGCACAAAAACCCCATCAATATCACTGACCACCACACTTCATTACATTACAATGCAACAAGCTCAACGAAAAACTTTCTTTATACAAATCCCAAAAACAAAAACATTATACTTACATTCGAGCGCGCTCCTTCTCAATTGCTGCCTTATTTACAAACTGTAAGAAAAAATATAAATAAATAAATAAAAGCTGGACAAAAAGAACATAACGCGAGTGAAATCGCTATAAAAATTCGATTTTTAACACATTCTGTTGTGCACCAGCGCCATCACCAGAAACCCGAATGAAAAGAGAAGAAAGGGGTGCACTCAACTCACCTGGTGGAGATCGAAGAAGCGTTTGGGGGTGAGGCGAGCCGAAAGGTGAGAGGGAATAGGATAATGGAGCTTCTCGGGTTGCATTGTGGGTAGTGAAGCCACAATGGAATCTCTGAGACAGAGACAGGAACATCGTCGTATCAATCGCTTCAAACTTAGCATCTTCACCACTTCGATTTCGATCCTATGTGCTTCTCTGTCTCTGCCTTCATTCCCACACCACAGTAACTAGCTCCATTTTACGCTGATGCTAGGAAAAGTTCATAAACCCTTATATGGGATATTGACCATTGTGCCCTTTCTTAGACTGAATGTCACGCGGGATAGAAATTTTGTCAACACTAGTTTATTACTAGGGCGAGACATGCAGAAAAATGGATATGGATGCGTCTAATTTAGGCTAAAGCAGCATTTTAAAATTTTTGAGCAAAAGAATTGCTCAGTTAAAGTTGATTGGATAAGTTTTTTCAAAGTAATGCAGTCAAACATGTCACATATGCTGACGGGACTCGTGCCACGTCAGCGCCACGTAGGCAGTCTCATTATCGTAAAACTTCGGAAGGTCATAATTTGTGACTCGGGTATCCAAATCAGATGATTTTTTTTTGATTTCACATAAATTTTCGAGATCTACGCAATGACATCTAATTTGACATATTTTATCTCCCACAAACATAGTTTGAAGATCTTCTGGATTTAAACGCGTGATTGTGGTACAATTGTTATCAATTCAAATTATGTTTGTGAGATATAAAATATGTTAAATGAGATGTCATTGCGTAGATCTCGAAAAGTTATGTGAAATAAAAAAAAATCATCTGATTTGGATATCCGAGTCACAAGTTATGGTCTTCTGAAGTTTTATAGTAACAAAACTGCCAACGTGGCGCTGACGTGACACGAGTCCCGTCAGTGTCAGTGACGAGACTAGTCCCGTCAGCATATGTGACATGTTTGACTGCATTACTTTAGAAGAACTTATCCAATCAACTTTAACTGGGTAATTCTTTTGCTCAAAAATTTTAAAATGGTGCTTTTCCCGTCTAATTTAATACGATCATGTTACTTAGGAGGATTTTAATTATTAATAATTAAATCAACGGTGATGATTGTGTAACTTTCTATCTTTATTTTTTTTCTCTCTCATCTCTTATCACTATTAACTCACTCATGTATGATTATGATTGCTCCACATGACATAATCATGTTAATTAGCACATAAGAGATCCACTCCCGAGAAAAATACAAATTTTGTCTCGTAAAAATTAACATAAATTTTAAATAAATTCTATAATTAAATTTTTGTCCGACACAAACACATAATTGCATTACGTAACGTATAAATAATAATTAAACACTTAATAAGTTGCTAAGTTTTTTTCTTTCTTTTTTCAGTATAAAGGAAGCTCTAAAGAAATTTAAGTGTTGATGACCACAAGTTAGGAATGAACTTAGATGGAAAAAATTATAGAAAAATAAGTGATAAAAAAAACCACAAGTTGATTCTAAATAAAATCATAATGGGGTTTTTAAACTTTTTCCTAAAATGTAACTTGCCGTCAGTTTTTTTAAATTATTTTTGACTAATTAAATTAAATATTTTTAAGTCAATCTATAAAATACAATTACAATAGTTTTCTGATAGCCCATCTGTTTATTTTTTTTAATTTAAGTAGTGAAATTAATATGGTTTTTAAAATTTAAACAATTAAGCCATTTCATTTCTTCAAATGAAAATAAAAGCCCATATGGACAATCTTATGTAGATCGTTGAAAAAAATGTTGCTTCCCATGAACTCGCTGCTGACTTATACTTTCTTCAGTGGGACAGTTTTTTTTTTTTTTTTTTTTTGTAATAAAGAGGGGCAAAAGCCCAAACAAAACAAAAATTACACGACGCGAGAACTTAAAAGATCTACAGAAGCATCCTGAAGAAGGAGCTCTAACAAAGAAGAAGGAGGAGAATAATAAACAATAAGATTATTATCATCCTCAAAATGCCTAGAAGCAAACCAGTGAGCACATCTGTTATTTTCTCGAAAGGTGTGGACCCAACGAACATCCCAATCTTCAGCAAGCCATTTGTGAATACGGGAAACAACCTGAGAGTTTCTGTGATTGTTGCTTCCTTCTTGGATAGTGCTAAGAGCAATTTCTGAGTCACATTCCAACTCCACTCTCCTAGCACCAGTACCCCCAGGCCAGCTCTAAACCTTTGAGAATACCCCAGAGTTCTGCATCAAGAGGATTACAGAAACCTAATCTGAAAGAGAAACCACCCAGAAAAGCACCATTGTGATCTCTAGCAAGGCCTCCACAGCTAGCATGCTGCCTAGATAGGGAAGAAGCACCATCTGTGTTAATCTTCAACCGACCAGGTTCAGGACGACACCATTTAGTAGGCTGATGGGCATTAGGGAAGCTGCCAAGAATGCTTCTATTCTTACCTCTAGCTTCAATTAAATGCGCAATAAAATCAGAAATGACACGCTTATCATTGCTTGGCCTTCGAAAACTATCATTATGAATATGATGATTACGCCAATTCCAAAGATTCCAGCAAGTAGTATAGAAAACATCTCTCCAATCAACATGAATTTGATAATTCCAACCCTTACTCACATTTTTGATGAGCCAAGGCTGTAGGTCTAATGTGAAGAAATCGTTGGGGACCCTTCTACCAAACCAATCTATCCACAATCTTTTGGCTTGAGAACAATCTCTAAGGACATGAATAAGAGTTTCTTCACTGTTTGGACAGTTAATGCAAAAATTAGGACCCCCATTTCATTTGCATGTACGACTCCTAACTGGAAGCTTATTAAGAAAAGTCAGCCACATCATAGTCTTGATTCTTTCTGGACCCTTCCAGTCCCAAATCTTCTTCCAGGGAACATTCCTTTGAGCATGTTGAAAATTCATCAAGTTCAAGTAGGCAACCTTAACTAAGGAAGAGGACAAATGATTCTGACACCAAACTAACCTATCCTCAGTATTATCCTCAGTGGGACAGTTTTATATACATAGTGAGCACTATATTTGATTTGAATTTAAGCTTGATTATACTTAAGGTCATGGATTCAAGTCCTTATAAATGTAAATAATTTTTTATGAGAAATATTCCAGTCTCGAACATGATTACTCTCTAGAAGATACATGTGATTTATCTTTAAAAAAAAAAATTAAATTTATTATCTATTCTTAAGTTTAACATACTCGAGTTTTCCTTAAATTACCATTTTTATTTAATTCAAAGCTGCGCAACTTTCGAGTATTGTTTTTTTTTTATCGTTGAATAATGAAGTTATAAAAAGATATCTGAAATAATATTCGCCAGAAAGCTCAATGAAAATATCCCAAGACTCAAAGTAATCAAAATGTTGAATACCAGTCTCACATATAGAGGTAACCCAACGGCCCTATCGAGCAGAATATTCATTATATATTGACAATAATTCTTGCATGTTTCTTCAAATATAAGACTGAATAAATGACCGAGTTTGACCGTGTCTTGGTGACCCATTCATCCACAAGAGATAGAAGGCATTGTGTAAAGAACAAGTTATATATTTCGGAGAAGGAAATTTGATCCCTGTCACGAGGCCTCAGCTTGGATTACCCCAAATCAAGCTTAATCCATTAAGGGTGGCCATGTGCACTAGACTCCCACCATTCCGGTGGAAATGTCAAATGTACATTATCTTACTCTACAAGGAAAGAAGTTGTTTCCATAACTATAACTCTGATCACCAATTCACAAAGTGGCAAGGCTCAAGACTCTAAATTCAGCAGATATAAGCACTAAAAAGAAATTCCAAGGGAAAATGGAATCCAATTATTCTTTCACAAGACCAACATAGTGCCTGTTTGGGAGGCCTTTTTTTTTTTTTTTTTTTTCTTCTCCTTATAAATAGAAGTTGGCCAAACAAGTTTTTACAAAAGCTCTTATAGTGAAAAGAGCTTTTTTTAATAATGAAGAAAAATGCAAAAAACCAAAAGCTCTTTAAGTTGTATCAGCTCTTTTTGAAATGTGTACTTTTTTTTTTTGAAATGAATAGCTTTAAGAAGTTTTTAAGCTAAAAATTTTATATAATCATCAAATAGCTTGTAGCTTTATTCTTAAAGCTCTTCTTTTTAGTTTTACCTTAAAAGTAACTTTTCACTTAAAAAAAAAAAGTTGCCAAACAGCATGATAATCAATTTCACGTCTAATAGCTATAACCTCTCGTGCAAGAGTACAGATTTGCAGCACCTGTTTGGCAGCAATTCCCACCATATAAATTGAAGAAAGGTATGATTGTTAGGTAGCATTATTGAACATAACATCGTTGATTCTGTCAATGCCAATATCTGATATCGGTTGGATGGGTTTCTCATCTCCCTCTAGAGAACAATCAAGACTCAAAGGATCCCTACTGAATTCATCTGAACAAAGAGATGTCCAAATCAGTTATTGGAAAACTTCAAATAAAAAACGCAGTACATCCTGAGTGATAGCACAGCTTTAAGAAATAAAAAATCCAAATGAAATTGTCCATTACCAAAACGACTTTACTTAGATGAAAGGATTTGAAACACGAGTTTTTTATGCAGAAAAATAAACAGTCAAAAGTATTCATATAGGCAAGAAGCTTAGGAAACAATCTAGCAATAAACAATAACCACACCTGTATGACTAAAGAATTCAGCATCAAACTCACCAAAAACTGTGTTTATAGAAGTAGGGGGAGGTGTTGAAATGAAGTTAAGGCCAATGTAGAATACCAGCATTAATACAATGGTCACCATCACATAACTTGGAACTGCCAGAGCCCAATATCTGAAAAACAAAAGTTGTTTTCCATCATTTTGTCATAAACAGCAGAATTCATAACGTTGTTCCATATCTGTAAAGCAAAAGCTGATGAGAATTTTTCACATCCGGTTGATTTGCAATCCTTTTCCATATCTTAAAGAAAAAAGTTGAGCTTACTCCCCCTCCATCCCCTCCCCCAAAATCGTTCATTTAACATCTAAATTGAAGAGCTCACTGTGCCTGTTTCATGCACCTTAACCGAGTTTGCATTTCTACAACCTTAAATTAACACTTCAGAGTTCCTCTCACTTTAGAATTTTCTCAATGAAAATTTCTTCTTTTGTGCACCCAAACAATTACATATGGTAAAGGACCCTGATAGTTGCCAAAGCTTCAAACAATAACAGGAGTTGAGCTGTCTAACCTGCTAGGATAGTAAGAGATGCCAATAGATTGTAGCCATGATTCCGGAACATATGCCCATACCAAGAAAATAACTATTCACAAAGGAAAATGAAAAAAAAAAAAATAGTAAAAATCATAAATCATAGCTAAGTTAAATTTGTGAAAAGCAGGATAAGAAACAAGACCTGAAGCAACAACAGTGGTTATAGATCCCACAAAACCGTAAACTTCTGAAGGCTTAGGGCCATGATCCCCAGACAATCCAAAGCCAGAGTTTTTGTCATCGGGATCTACAAACGACACAGTCGTCCTTCGCTGTTTTGACAGACTGAGTGTTCTTCTTGGACTGTTGACAGAGTGGGGACTTTCCATGAGGCTTACCTTCAATTACAATTTAGCATAACAAATTTGCACCAGCTGAAGAATAATGCAAGTGATGTTATTTTTCAAATATCAAACTCAAGCACAAACATGGACAAATACCAATGGAAAACAACAGAAATCATGTTCCCAAACACACTTGAAATCGAAATTGCATCAGACAGAAATAATTCTAAAATTTCATATCAACAAACTTGTAATGCCCTGTGTCAACCCAATTTGTTACACGTTATGGAATTCAAGTTGTGACTAATTAAATAAACTCTAAAGGTTGGAAAAATGTCTAGTGATATCCACTTTTACCATTTCCAACTCAGGAGACCAGATTTATAAAAAAACACACATGGATTATAATAAAAAGAGAAAAGTGCAATCTCTGTAAAAATTTAATAAGCGCAAACAACAGACAAAAATCATTTATCCTTCATAGGAGCTGATATAATGCGAGATATCTTTTAGGAGTTCCCACACTTCCAAAATAGAATTGCACTGTCTAAATTCAGCAAACAAACAATTCTGGCAGAAGCATCAAACGAAACAGTCCAAGAAAATGGAATACAAGGGAATCATTGGACAACCAACCAGGTGCCCAGGCAATGCTACCTAGAATCAGCATTAGGAATTTATCTGACAAACAAAAAAGAATTCTAAGATTTTAATATGTAAAACTAGACATCCTAAGCTTTCCAACGATATATAATTTATTATTTTTGAAAAAGAAAGCACTAGATACAAATTTTAGAAGCCAGCTATTATAAGTTCCCAATGTGCAGAAAATTTCGATGGTTTTTATAAATTTTCTGTAGTTGGAATCCTTAACAATCCACTCACCAATTTTCCAGCATTGAAGTACTCTTATTTAGCTTTTCATCGAGGTAAAATACACCTTAATTGGCTCTCTATAACTTGGTTTGCAGGTGTTATTTGAGGTGAGACTGTTTGAGGGCAAGCCTTAAATCAAACTAGAATACTACCTAGCAAATTGGCTCTCTATAACTTGGTTTACAACTTCAAATTCCATACTCAATTTAAAAAAAAAATAAAAAAAATACTATCTAGCACAATTTAACAAGTCTGATTTGACAAAATTTACCACATAGTTATGTAGTGAAACATTAAATTTTATCCCGTAAATTACACTCAAAGAGTTCTCCTTATTTACAGCTTTAAAAAAAAGCATAGGATTGCACTCTGAAAATTCCAATGAAGCAAGTAAAGGGGGAATACAAAACAAAATGCAGGTAAAAGAAAAAATAACAAATTTTGAGCCAATGGGTCTTCTTTTAGTGTTGGATGGTCACTTTTACATAGAACAAACCAACATTCTAAACAAAATAAAATAAAGAAATACAAAGCTGCAGCATTGTCTATGTACCAGACAAAAACAGAACTTATAACAAACTTTACTCAATGTATCCAGAAAGGACTTGTGTATACAAACTTTAGTCACACTCTCTCACACACAAGCATAATCACAAACCACAATGACACAAAATAGATATCATATAATTTTTAAATTTTTTTGTCTCTAGGTGTACATGATCAGCTGCAACAACCTATTCAAGACTGCAAACGGGCAAGAGTTGAGGAGAAAACAACACTAAGAAGAATGAACAAAAATATAAACATAAGCAGTCACATTTTCATTTCACCTGAAGCATCAACTCATAAATGAGGACTGAGAAAAAAAAAAAAAAACCAAGCCCAAAAATGGAACAATCTATGGATTGAGGAAGCAAGAAATAACTGCAAAACAGCTTTTGTTGTGCATAGATACTAAGTGATTGAACTCTGTTTTGTGAAGAAAAACCAAAGAACAGAAAATTCATAGAACCTCAGTAACCAATCAACACCTAAGAGTGTTGTAGATGTGCTGTACTTGAATCATTTCATCAAACACATGGCGAGCTTTGAGTGTGTTGAACTCAAAACAAAAGAACTGATGCTATTAGAACAAAAAAAATAAAAAGAGGTAAAGTATGATTTTAACACAGAATCTTCAAAGAACTGCGCATTTGCATTTGAAGATGATTACCCAAATACCCAGAATTCAATGAAAATTGAAGTATACCTGAATAACCAATTTCGATGGTGGTGTTTCCTTACATAATCCAGATATTAAGATTGCTACACATCAAAATCGCATTGGAGACGTCGAAAACAATCGAGTCTCAATATAACATGAAAAACCCCAAAGGGACGATGTAGATGAAAGCCTCTTTAGTATTCATAACCCACATAATTAATTACCAAATTAAAATTTTAAATTAGTTCGTCACACATACAAAATTAAGATGCGGGATGAGTTAATTGATAAAATTAAAATAATGAGATATTTTTCAAATAATTTAAGTTTATATAATTTTTTTTTTTTTTTGATAACATATATAATTTTTTTTTCAACGAGTAAAGTTTATGGGTTCACTTTTCCCATAGTCAAGATAACTTATCTCCGGTGAATCCCAAAACGATGTCGTTTTGAGACGAAAATAAAAGTATTTTTATAATTAAATTTATTTCAGGGTTATAATAGTCTTTTTTTTTGTATAACGTTATAATAGTCTTTTTCATTATAATTTTTTAATTTTTCAACCCAAAACGATATCGTTTTGAGAGCAAATATTGATAACTTATCTACATTCACTTTAGAAACATTAAAGTCAAAGTTTATATAGATCAATTATAAATCACAAAGAACATTAATTAATGGGTAAAGGATTTCTCCGGTCAATGGAGATAAATTATCTCCCGTGAGCTCAAAACGACTTCGTTTTGGAGCAAAAATTAAGGCATTTTTATAATTATAATATATTGCAGGGTTATATTAGTTTTTATCATTATAATTTTTTAATCTTATAATCCCAAGACAACGTCATTTTGAATTCACTGAAGATAATTTTATCTCCGATGACTGAAGAAATACTTTTCTATTAATTAATTAGTTATATTTAAATATTGTGCTAATAACACAAACATTTTTTGGTATATGTTTTGGAAAAGAAAGCTTTGCGCTAAATTACACATCGAGTCCCCAAAATACTCGTTTTTTTCCAACAATGATAATTTCAATCCGATTTTTCCAATTATGTTTGAGTTTTTTTTTTTTAAATAAAACTTCTAATTTAATCATAATGTTTGCAATTTCTTGCTTTCCCACTTGGATTGATTATCATAATTTCATCCTTTCATTTGCGATATTTAACCATTTCTTCCAACAAAAATAATTTCCTATTAAAAATAAAAGTTTACTTTTGATATACTGTGAGAGTAAATTATTTTTTTACTCTCGTCCAATATTATGTTAAAATCTTATTTCATGAGTATAGTTATCATAAAATATCAAACTTATCAAATAATTGATAATATATCATTGAATATAAGGGTGAAATTTTTAATGTTGACAATGCATTAAAATTAAGGGTTCGCTTTTTCTGCAGTTACTGTAAATAAGTTATTTGCAGTAAGCCCAATACGACGTCGTTTTAGGGCGAAAATCATGGTGATTTTATAATTTTAATTTATTTCAGAGTTATTATAGTCTTTTTAATTATAATTTTTTAATATTTCAATACCAAAACAACGTCGTTTGGGAGTATAACTGCAGAAATATTTTTCTATAAAATTAAATATAAAGTATTGTGGTTTCATGATTTTGTATTTATATTCATTATAAAAAAATGATGTACACTTAATTATTTTTGTAATTATTTGTGTATTTATAATTTATTTCAGGATTATAATAGTTCTTTTCATTACAATTTTTTAATTTTTCAATTCAAAACGAGACGTCGTTTTGGGAGCGAATGTAGATAACTTATCTACATTCACTGTAGAAACGTTAAAGCCTTGTTTATTAAATGTAATTATTATATTTGTGTGTATTCTTATCCTTAGGACAATGGTTCATTACTTATTATGTTGTCACCGGAGGAGGTTAGATTCTATTATTTGGAATGTTTATCGAAAAGGTTAGTGCTTGTTTATATGTTTGCTTTGATATATAATCATTGGCTATTGTTTATTTGCATTTTCAATGTTATGTGACATTATTTAGTAAATAATTTAGATAGGTATGCTAGAATTTATGGTAAATTATTTTTCTAACTGATTTGAGTAATTACGATAAATATTTTGATAATTTGATATATCAAAGTTTTTGGCCAGGGTTCCGCCACTTATTGTGTTAGAAATAGGAAATTCTCAAATATTTAGCAATTAGACATGTGTAGTGGACCTATGTTTAGGAACTCCACTATTATTGGCTAATAACAAAAGCTGATATCCCTCACAACCACAGACGATACACAAAGGAATAGATAAAGGTGGTCTTCAGAATAGGTTGCATACCCTCACACTTTATTAGTGCGTGCTTGCTGCGAGGAAGCATAACTGCGTCATGTTCCCCTTGCAAACGCTAACGACAATTGCATAGAGGAATGCTTTTTTAGGTTCCATTCGCTGCACGTATGGGTGGATTCCGCACAAGAAGAGAAATAAGTCTAAGTTATTAAAATAGTTTCCATTATGTATTTAATTATATTATAAAATTTTATCCAGATGAACAGGCACACTAATTAACCCAAAGAATTATATATATATATATATATATATATATATATATATATCAGCACAAACTTTGTTGGGTTTAATTAACTTTAGCACCACAATCTTAATTACTAATTACTAATTATATATATAATGGTAACACTAAGGTTGGAAACTATAACCTTATCCTAATTATTCAAATCCCTCCCTATTAACCCACACATAATGGCTAAACCCTTCATTATCTAGGTTTAGGGTTTTGGTGCTTGGATTTGTTTATTTAGTGCTAGTAGATCAGCTTGGTACTCGGCAATCCAGCCTTTGATTATCTTGATCTCAGTATTTCTCTGCGTGACCAACCATTGAGGATCACTTGGTTTTTCTGAGAGTATGTCCAGGCAATGAGACCCTGCAATTGTTTAAATATTCCATGTTAAAATGGCATCAACATTTTAAGCATGAATGAAGTCATTAACTCGAGAGGTATCATGCTTTTAAACTGCAGTTTATATATACGATTATACAATTTATATATGGGGATAAAGATGAAGTACCATTTAGAGTGGAAACAGCAATGACACTATTTGATATACTCTCCAATACCCTGCATGCAGTCCATAATTGAGAACAAAAGAGGGGAAAAATAAAAGGAGAAAAATAAAAAGTGGTTGAAACAAATTGAAAATTAAAAAAAAGGAAAATGAATGCGGAAGAATAAGGAGGGATCTTTTGACTCTTGGATAAGACTTAGAATTCATCTTAACCGTTGTTTTCTGTTTATTTAATAATTATAGTTTGTTGAGTTATATCAATTAATTAAGGGTAAATGATTTCTCCAGTCAATGGAGATAAGTTATCTCCAGTGAGTCCAAAACGACGTTGTTCTGGGACGACGAAAATCAAGGTGTTTTTGTAATTATAATATATTGCAGGGTTATATTAGTTTTTATCATTATAAATTTTTAATCTTATAACCTCAAAACGACGTCGTTTTGAGTTCACTGAAATAACTTTATTCCGGTGACTAGAGAAATATTTTTCTCATTAATTAATTATTAATTTCAATTAAATTACAACCGTGAGATATACGAAAATTAACGATTGAGACGAGGAATAAAACTTTTAAATCTTACACTAAAGTTAAAACATCTCTTTGAAGAATATATTTATATTTCTCATTATGAAATGTAGTTTATTTTCCTTATTTTACCCGCCAGAGCTGTACGGATCTCTCAATCCATTGGAGAATATGATGTTGCTAGCAAACCTATGGAGAATCAGTTTCAAATCCTGCATTTTGTTAATATATATTAAAAACATCAATATTTTAAAACTAATAATAGAAAAGAAGAAATAAGGAATAATAAATTTATGAGATCTAATTAAGAAAAAAAAAATTAACGTACAGGACCCCCATAATATGTGGTCACCCAATGAGGCTGAGGAAGGACGCCATATAAGCTCTTACACTCATTAACAAAAGTCTTCATATTGAAAGGTGATGGTGGGAACATTGAATCGTTCCTATCATGACCTATTGGCATAACAATCTCGCTGCATGTCTGTTTATGAAGTTAATTTAATCTTATAAGTTAATGAAATATTATTCCAAATTAATTGGAGATAGCCAGAATGTGTTGTTTTAATATTTATAAGACCATGACATTTACCTGCCATCTCCATCCCAGGTTAGTTTCAGTTGGATGATTGAATGCATTCATGTCATAGCATGATCGATGTTGCATATAAGCTACAACACCTTTAAATATTTGGCCTATAATATCTGTTTTCTTAGCTTCTGCATCAATAGCTTCACATATGACCTTAACTGGGTACGCAGGAGGGTGATTGTACTGAGCCGCTTCAGTGTATAATGAGTCTAAGTAGTCCTTGAGCTCAAAACTTTTGCTCAATTTGCTGAAACAGTGAAAAGAAAAACATTCTTCTAATCAATTTTTGGATCAATAACATAATAAACAGTTAATTGTGTACATATACCATATATAGAAGTCTATATATATATGCTTACTTGCAAGTTTTAAATCTCTTGCTGAGAATTGAAAGACCATTAGGCTTCTTAGCAACTCTGTCAATTTCAGACCATGATTTACGTATAGTTTGGTAACAACTCTCACTAGTTTCCTGAACCACGCAAATTATTCATCCATATTGCAATAAGTTCTTAAAGGGTTTAATTAACCTAATTCATCATTTTTTTAAAAGGAAAGATTGGCATAGAATAGTAGATTACTTTGAAGTCCTTGGTTACAATATAATAATATCCGGCTTGTGGGGCAACACCATTGAAGTAAAGAATTGGTGCTGATGAAGCAAGAGCACCAAGAGCAATGTGGGGATACTTTAGGCGGAACCATGATGCAAGCACTGCATAATTAATAAATTTTTAAGGGAAGAAAGTTAATTAAACCCTCCTACACATTAAGAAAAATCTAATTGAATAAACTTATATGTGATAAAGCTTTATATAAAGTGTTTATTTAAGTCCTAGTTGACATATATTTCACTTTTTAATTAGAAGAAAGAGCTAATAATATATATGTATAATCCTTACTTCCACCATAAGAACCTCCAATAACAATAATGGGAGAATTCTGAGCTGACAAACTTTTCTTGATGTGCAAAAGCACAGAAGCATAGTCAGCTATTGCTTGTGCTGAATTGAAGTAGCCACGAGTACTCGCATTTCTCATAGCTTCTTCCCTTGACCCAAATGGTATTGATTTCCCATAGTATCTATGCTGTTTAAAAACGTATCATATATTAGAGCATATAATAACAAATAAGTAGTAGTTTCTTAAAGAATGCAAATATTAGGCTTTCTGAGATGGCCACAATTAATTGCTTGTCTTAATTAATGAATGCTGTTATAAGTTTATCTCACACTCTTACCTCAATATATACAATAAGAGCATTGAACTGAGGAGCGTTATCTCTGAGAAAACCAACATAGTATATATCCTGATCCACTGGTTCTTCTGCTCCAAGGTATGCAAAAATTGGTGCATTTAATTTAGCTCCACCCCAGTACTTGAAATTTATCATATATCTTTGTTGGAAAGTGGTGTAGCTATCAGGCCTGTAGTTGAAGTGATCAAGTCTTTGGGTGTAATAAAATGTTTTGAGGTCTTCATGCAATTGCAAGGTAGACCTGGTTTGGGGTTCGAGTTCCTTGGTTCTCCGCAAAGTTCCTAACCTTGGAATATGATGGAAAGCAGAAACACTAGATGAGATACTTAGAAAGAACAGAGAAAGCCATTGAAATGAGTGCATAATGTATGACATGGCTGAATTTAGTTGAGAGTATATGCGTGTCTCTTAGGCTTCAATGTTTTAAGGTTGTAACACACACATATATATATATGAATACTACCTGATTTGATAACATGAAATGCAATACCATTTAATTTAAAAATAAAACGAAAGAGAAATTGCCAAGATGATGCTATACTTTGCTAAAAAATAGTAAACTAAGCTACAGCTGTCAAGCCATATCATATGTAGAGGCCTAGGATGCAAAATTGAGACCTTGTTAATAAAAGTGCGCTGCAGTTTCTGATAAGCATGAGAAGATGTGGGGGCAGCTATGATTCATGCATTCGGTTATTAGTGTTTAAAAATATTATATTTTGAAAAAAAAAAAAACTTTTTGAGAAGGTAGCTAGAAAAGCAATGTTATAAAAATCGGCTCAGTCTGAGTAACTCTTTGATTTTAATTGATATTTGAAGTATATAATAAATTTAATAGTAATAACAAAGTATCTCAAATAAGCCATTGGCATAGTAGTTGTTGGACTTGTTTGAAATTTGTTTCGAAAAATAATTTTTTGATTTTCAGAATAAAAAAATTTGTTTGATAAGACCTGTTTTGTAAAAGAAAAAAATTAAAAAATTGAAACTGCTTTTTATTTTTAGAATTAAGTTTAGAGAGCATTTCTGAATTGTTTTTGTTTTGTGTTTTGTGTTTTAACTTTTAACTTTCAAAATAAAAAAACTCATAGAAAACACTTATTTCATTAACTATTCTACAAAATAGTTTTAATAACAAAAAAAATAAATAAGAACACAATCAAACACAATTGTTTCTTGTTTCATGCAATGTGGTGTAGGTTCAAGTCTTGTTGGCTGCATATGTATGAGAAAGATTTTTAAAAACACCACAACCAATTGAACCATTCAACCGGGTCAGCGGTCTATTAACTGAACCGGACTGGTTGAGGGTCTAATTTTCAGGTCAACTGGTTGGACCGGTTGGTCTGGTCCAGCAGAGAAGCATAATAATAAATGCTCTTTTAACACGGCATAACCATTTATAAGAGAAGAGTTGTGCACACTTTGTTCTTTCTTTTGTTTATTAATCTTTAATTACATAAACACGAAGAAATTAATGGTTTTTGAGAAGGTAGCTAGAAAGGTGTTCAATGAATACAAGATTATGTCATAAGGGTATTATAGGTTTTCTATTACTCTCGTTACTCTTTTAACATGGCATAACCATTTATAAGAGAAGAGTTGTACACACTTTGTTCTTTCCTTTGTTTAATAATCTTTAATTGCATAAACACGAAGACATTAATGCTTTTTGAGCATTACAGCACTTTATTGGTAGCGAAAAACAGTAGCTGACTCACAAACTTTTGTAGCAAATGGGAATGGTTTACACCTACTAAACCTACATAACTATACGCATTATCCACATGACGTTGTATAGCAATTTCACTCCATTAATTTTATGCAGGAAAAAATAACTTTCTATAATAAGAGTTATTGCTTCAAAGTTGGCATAATGATAGCATCCAACCAGGACTCATTTTCGTGGGTGATTCTCCGTGGGAAATAGGAGACAAAAGAACGCATTCAACACATGCATAATGGCTTTTCATTCTTTAACTGCCTATTATTTTCCTTCATAAATGTACTATATACCCCTTAACAACCTTTTTGATCATATTAGGTCAAAATATTTAATACATTTGTTAACCAAATATATATATGATTAAATTATTGGATCAAGGGCTTAGGGCTCGTTTGGATGAGTTTTTTTTCTTCAAAAGCGGCTTTTTTTCAAGAAAAAAAGCACTTTTCGTTTTTAGTTCGTTTGGATGTCCGCTTTTAGAAAAAGGAGAAGTCACAAAAAAAGTCAAAAACTTACTTTTCTCAGAAGCTAAAATTTTTAACTTCTCAGAAAAGTAGAAGTCAAAAGCCAAATATTTTTTTTCAAAAACTAAATATTTTTATAAAAATATAAATAGCTTTAACTTTTGTAAAAAGTACTTTTAAAATAAGAAAGTATTAAAAGTTACTTTTAGAAAAAGCTCAACCAAACGACTTCTTATTACTAAACCGAAAACCATAACTAACCTCCTTCCCATCACTCGGAGTCGGAGATTCAAATTTATAATTTTACTCTGATATCACTTGTTGAATTATTAAAAGTTATAACTAATATCAAAGGTGCTACTTTATGTTCTGAAAGTTTATCTGAATTGTATTAAGCTTTAGGATTATGGGAGTCATGAATCGAGTTGTTGAGTTTATTTAACGTTAACCAAAAGTTAACCATAATACTACGAACCAATAACTGTATGAATGGTGATATACAAGAATATGCAAATATATAAATGATAAAAAAATAAGTTAATATGTCAACTTTATATAGTATTTTTTGGCATTAATTCTCATGTAACATAGACAAGGTAAAATACATTGGTCATTAATTATTTTAAAGACAAATCCACTTTTAAACGCATTCTTTTGTGACCAACAATGCTACAAATACACATGACTAGATAATCCAAATGCTTTATCAAATCAATTACTCTCTAGACTTTAGTGGGGCTTATGCGGTGAAAAGTTCAATTTATGCTATCCTGGATTAGACTAGGAAGCTGACTTTTTCCATTTTCTTATAAAAATGGATCAATCAACTTTGGTACTTTTTCTTTATTGCAATGATGAAGACATTTTTGGTACAAGGGATGGTGCTTCCAGGAAAATAATGAAGAAAGTGGACTAACTGAAGGGAAATATGAACATTATTGCAAATTGTAAAAGAGGAAAAGAGGATAAGGAAATGGAGATGTAGTGTTATAGGATGGAACCTATTCAGCTCCACCATTCGATTTTGATATCACAAAATACCACTCAGCTGAAAATGGCTTTGTGCTTACATTAGGAAATGCAGAGCATACATGCGATTCACATGTAAATTGTAATCATGGCCACGGTCCCATGGTCTCTAAAAAGCCGTGTAGACGGTTTCCAAAGATCAACATATAGTGGAGACACTCTAATTTCTAAAAAGTACCACAATGAATGTATCAACGCAATTCTTCTTCACATGTCCACCTTAGATATTGAAATGCTGGAAATCATTTGCCTGTTGTTTCAGCCTAATTAAGAAAACATAAGACATCTTACATTACATGTACATATATAGCTGGAAAATGATTCCTTGTGTACCAAAATTTTTACATTGTTTAGTAATATTTCAATTATTAGTTGGCAAGGTATATAGATTGGTTAACAGATATATAATTTATTAATGGTGAAAAAACTCAAAGAAGACTTGAATGAAGTCACTCATTGTTTTGGTTTTCTATAAAATACTTAAAGCTTTCTTGAGATAAAGGAATAGTGAGAAATTTTTTTTGGTGTGTGGGTAAGAACTCAACGGAGATAGAGATAGAGAGAGACAAAACCTCTCAGAGGAAAGCTCCCTTTTCTGAGGAGGAAGACTTAGTGAGTAGGAGTGTCAAGAAACCTAAAAGGGAATGTCCAAACGATGAAGCTATGGATGATGAGATGTTGGACAAAGAAGCTAATTCGGAAATGGAGTCAACGGAGGGAACCGATGGTGCAAGTAAACAGATCCCATGCAGAGAGAACTATCAAGAGAGGAAATCAATCTCATACAAGGACAAGCTGCTCCACTTGAATGACGATTGTTACATCTCGAAAAGTGAGGATGATGATTAGATGGAGAGAGAGAGAAGAGAAGAGGAGCAATATGGCATGGAAGAGGAATTAGTAGAAGGAGAAGAGGAACACTTGTGCCCCACGTATAAAGTGTCTAAACACCAACACAAAGAGGACTGTAAACAATGGAGAAGGGCATTGATCATCAAGTTATTGGGGAGAAGGATCAGTTCCAGATTTCTGTTAGCCAGATTGTAACGATTGTGGGGTCTCACCGGAACCTATAAAGCAATTGAATTGGATAATGGTCATCTTCTTCTATGTTTCTCGAGTGAAAGGGATTACATCCATGTTTTGCAGGAAGGGCCATGGGTGGTAGCTGACCACTACCTGGTTGTTCAACGTTGGATACCAATGTTTAATCCATATGAAGATAAAGTCAAAAACTTGCAATATGGATGCGAATTCCTGGCCTACCAATTGAACTCTACTCTCTACTCGCTATCTTTGGAAAATTGGTAATATCTTTGGTAGAACACTTAAAGTTGACAAAAACTCTATTCAAAGGGTAGACAAAGGAGATTATTGAGAAAGCTCGTTATGCTAGGATCTCTGTGGAAGTAAATCTTAATAAAAATTTGATGTCTCAATTTAAGATAGGCAACATACTATTTTAAGTTGGTTATGAGGGATTACACCTCTTTTACTTCTCTTGCGGCCAATATGGCCATAAAAAAGACCAATGTGGGTATGTGGTGATACCAGTTCCATGGGCGAAAAACTCGATTGCTCTGCCTAACTGTACCAATGACATTTCCGACGCGGAAGGAGGTGATAAAATTGGTGTGGAGGATGAAGCCTTTGGCAACAGGATGGTTGTTCAAAAAAGACCTAAGGGTCGTCGGATGAAGGAGGCTCTGGTGGAGGGGAAACCGAAAAATGTGAAACAAGTTGCAGAAGACAAAAGATACACTGCCCCAACTAATCTGCAAAACCAACTTTCCATTAAAGAGGATGGTGCTTTCTGCAAAGATGTTTCAGATAGTAGGGGGAAAGCAGCATAGTCTAAATGGTGTTAAGAAAAATAGTAGCGTTAAGAGGGATGTCTTAAGGAAACAAACATGAAGGATTCTAGAAAGGAGAAATCACCTTTTGTTGGAACCAATGATAGCTTGAAGTCAATGGGTGCACATCGAAACTTAATGGGTGCAGGCGATAAAGCTATGGGGCCTAGTCCCATGCAAAAAAGTAATCAAAATGGAAAGACAAAATCTGTTCGAGAAAAGCAAGTGGTGCAGCCTTCAGATACCTCTTATATGGCTAACTTTTTTTTAAGGAAATCGGGTCTCAGTTGGTAGCAGATGCTAATCTTCCTAAAAGAAA